GCTCACCGTGGCCTTCCAGCATCTCCACATGTGGCCCGGGAGCAGCCTCTGTGAGGAGCAGCCATGCTGCTGTGTGCCACTGGTCTCCATCCTTGTCCTGGACACAAAATTACATGTTTGGGCTGCACGTGTCTCATGGTCAGCACTGCTCTGCCCCCTGGCCCACTGCCACCACAGCAGCACTGCTGTCTGCAGGTGTGCAGGCCCAAAGCACCAAGGCAGCCACAGCTTTTGGAAAGAGCATATGAGAGAGAGACTTGTTAGACTGGCACAGCTGGGAAAAATGGTCCCTTGGTGGACACTGGCAGAGCAGAGGGCTGGAGGTTGCTGGAAAAGTGCTGAGGAAATGGCAGTGAAGGAGGGGGCAACCCCAGTCCGTAACTGTGCCTCATGAGACTGTGGGCAGAGCCATGGGGGGACGAAGGAGCTGAGGGAAGTAGGGAGAGTCTAATTGGAGACAGTGATCCCCTGAAGAACTGGGTCAGTCAAATGCCAGTAGCAAAGCTGAAATGGGGCACAGGACATGGGAAATCTCAGCTCACCCCAAGACGTCTGAATGCCCCATGGACTCTTCACTACACAAGACATAGGGGAACCAAAACAGCATTTCAGAAACCTCTAGAGATTTGTACACTTTGTAATTAGTCCAGTATTCACTGTGAAGACAGTTGTGTGAAAGTGGGCCACAAAGAAAGGTTGGTCCATAGAATCATAGAATAATTTGGGTTAGAAGGAACCTTAAAGAGCAGCTAGTACCAATGCCCTACCATAACCAGGGACACCTAATAGAGCAGGTTACCCAAAGCCCTATCCAAGCTGGCCATCTCAGAACAGAATACATGTAATAATCACCCTTAAAGAGCTGCATTTTTATAGGTATAACCACTTGAAATAATTATGAACAAATAAATATGTGTGAGGAGAAAGTATTAGTGAAAATGAAATTGCTTCCGTATGGGGAAAAAAAATAAAACAACAAAAAACATGGATTATTGCACAGAGACCAAAGAAAAACTGAGAACAAGATACCAGCATGAGAGCCGAGAGGAAGAGAGTGCAGGAAAAAACAAGCAGCTTAGCCTTTGGTTATGGCCTAAGGAACAACCTGCAGTAGAGATGAAGGCACCAAATAGTTAATAAAGCTTCTGAACTGTTTCCAATTCTTGAACAAGGAAGCAATAGTTCTGCTCTTATCAGCAACTGCTCTTTCATATTTGTATATCAAGCTAGCTTTATTAAATTATTCAGCAAAGGTCAGATGTGATGTGTCTTCCTAGTTTTATTATGATTTTCTATGACATTGCCTGAGTAGCTGAATAATAAACAGTGCATGTCCATATGCTACAGCGCTGAGATATCCACAGGCACTCTGGATTATGAGACTGCAACCATCAATTCTGAGGCAACGTAAGTGTATTAAACAAAGGTTTAAGCTACATGTAAGCACTTCTGTGTGTTGCTTGTATAAATACAACAGCGAAACAGAACCGAGTCCCAGCACTGTGTACACATACTGATTTTGAAACCTACTTGTGCATTATATAGTTTGTAAATATTTGAACCTGTTCCTTGCTAATAATCTAACTAGTGAAGCCTCCAGCTCCTTACAACTGATCAGAACTTCCCAGCCTGGGGTGAGCTGCCCAAAAGTGCTGGGAGAAAATAGGTAGTAAAAAACTGACAGACCAAAGTGGCTATTACCTACAGTGACAGCAGAAGCAGATTGAAAATTTGGTTATTTTACAAATAGACAAAGATCTTCAAATCAATTTGTGTGATTCTTTAAGATATCTTTTTGACTCCACATGATATATGCCCCAATTTATGGTTACTGAAAGATGCATAAGGCTTTTTCAGCATTGGCAAGTGACAATTACAATATCATCTATACAATGTAAAGTAAATACATATCTAATGTTAATTGAACAAAAATTTAGTAATTTAGTTTAGTGTAGTTATTTGTGTTGTTTCAGATTAGTTTTATCTGGCCCTAGGGAATATCTAGACATCATTGCAAAAGCCAACATAAATTAAAAATAGGATGTAGGTTTTCTTTCAATTGTTAAGTAAGTAACAGAACACTGCAGTGAACAATACAAAGAGCATTATGAATTCAAGCTGTTCCTGGTTCCTGATGGTCTCATTGATATTGCCTAAAATTTATTTCTTATTTTATACAGACATATCTTTTAGCAATCCACTTCACAGACTTTAAGGTCAGAAGATTTTATGGATAGAAAGCATTGAAAACTTTCATGGTTACTGATGCAGGAAAAATGTTTGCTTTACAAATTCGCAGTAACCAACATTGCTTTGTTTTTTTCTGGTTGATTTTTTTTTTTTTTTTTTTAGAGAGTACAGGTTATTTTTTATAAAAGGAAGATTTAAAATCAGTATTTTTTTAAATAAATAATAAATTGAAAATCAGGACTGTACCATAATAATAAATATTTGTTCATCAACAGCTGCCTCTCAGAAGTTCCCAAATCCTCTACCTTGGTTTAAGCAGCTATTGTTATTTATTTCCATCTCACAGCATATGCAACACACACACACAAAGAAAAAAAAAAAAGAGAGAAAAAAAAAGAGGAGGGAAAACTCTCATCAGTGAGTATGTTTTGGGCTCAATTGATACAACATTCCACTAAGCTATTCCACGGCATTTATGTCAGATGAAATATCCACAGCAGTCTCATGCCCCTTTGACTTTCTGAGCACTTGGGATTTGTATTCCAGAAACACATGTGGCTCCCAAGAAGCTCTTCAGCCTTGGCAGTGATAACAAGGAGGGATCAGAGTACCCCAAGTAATCCTTACAGCTCTGTCAACAATTCCTATGGCACATCATAAATCAGGAGGAACCTGCTTAGTCCCTCTGCCCCAGCTCCTCACTCCTTCCGAGGGCTCATCCCAGCTCCCTGACTGCGTGGCTTGCCTGCAAGAGAACAGGATGATTTTCTCCATATCTGTCTCATTTCCAGGCTTGCCAGCTCTTTATTAGTCTCTCATGCAAGGAAAATCTTGGGAGACACTTTCAAAATAGAGGATCGAGGCAGCAAGAATGCCTGCTGTCGAGCTTTGTGACCAGAAACACCTCTCCAGCATCTCTGCAGGGATGGAGGGAGAGACACCAGCTCTGTTTCACCCCAGCTGCTGGAATGGAAGAAGACTGATAGCAAAGGTGGTTAGAATCATTCCACCTGCACCAAAGGTACAGCCTTTTGGTGAAGAGGCAATCACACCATCTAGTTCCTAACTGCAAGTGGCTTTTATCCTGTACTTTACAGCTTATGTATTGCAAACGGGGAAAAGGCTCATTAGACCTTTGTAGTAAGCCTAGGACAGTGCACAAATGCCAACAGTCAAGCCGTCAGAGAGGGAAAGACAATAGAAAAAAAAATCAGAAAAATGAGAAGCTTAGAGCAGGAAATAGATATTAATAAAAGTCTTAAATTTTAATTGCCACAGACATTAAAAGCGTACCAGAGAAACAAAACCTAGAAGGGAGAAAAGAAACCCCCTCTCTCCATATTTCAGCATTTTTAAATGCCTTCCTCTCAAAAATGTTATTCTTTCATTTTCCAACTGATAAGATAGCTATTTTTCTTCTAAACAATGAAATAAAAATAAAAACTAAATGAATACATAAGAGCTGAACATTTCGAGGTGGCTAATTACCTCACAAAATGGTGGGGAAATTAAATGCCCACCAACCCTCTAAGACCGGTCTGCCACTGAAATGTATTCCAATTTTCTGGAAGATCATTCCCCACGTTTCAGTTGCCTTTTGTTTAACCCTGTTCACAGATTCCTAAGGCTTTTAAGGATGAAAAAATAATCAGTACAGAAACTGCCCATAACCCATTACTCAGTAGAGCTGTAGCACCCTGTGAAACCTAGCTGACCTACTTGTGCTGAGTTTAAGCCCTTCGAATGCACAGTAAAGGCATGAGGTTTTTGTTGTTGGGAAGACATGCAGTACTAATAGAACTTGAAAAAAGACAAACCCAGACCTCTGAGCAGCATACAAACAACGCCTGCGCACTGAGGCTGCCCAAGGCTACTGCTGCTCTAGATTGTGTGCAGAAGACACTTAACATAAGGAATACACCTTGAGTTGAAGATAACATGGTTTATTTCTTCATGATATTCAGATTAAAATGTATCAATGTATTTAGCACAATACTACATTTTAGGACAAAATCATCAGTGCTTTGCAAGGCTTCATAACTGTTTATTCATTATAAATAGTAAATATTTACTGAACTTTTTACATGAAAGACGTTTGTTTTTTGTTTTTGTTCGTTTGTTTTTTACAACATGTTGTTGGCAGAGGCTGCAACACAAAGATTTCATTTTTCCCTCTCCCTTAAGACCAATGTGCGAACTAACCTCTGTACTGAATCTAGTCTAATGCACTACTTCATTGTCCTCAACACTAAAAGGAATGTATTTGTGTTCTGCCTCTCTCTTTGTTCAAAGAATAGAGAGAAATAAATAACACCGCCTTCCATCTTCCTGTTCCTCTCAACATCACAAAACACAAATTTATTGACATTCTAAAATGTCACAATGCAAACTTCTTGTAAACCTTGGTTCCTATAATTAATTTCTATATTGGATATCACTGTATAATTTAAACAACTGTGTTATATACAGCTCCATCTCTGTTCATGTCCTGTACATCACTAAAAAATGTAAACGTAATCATTTTTCCTTACTGTTTCCTGAAAATGACCTTTAAATCATGATTAGAAAGCTGGATTTTAGCTGTCCAGCACACTGCAACATTTCTGTATTTGATCATTAGGAATTATGCACTGCAAAAATAAAAGTACCTGCAAAAATATAGTTCTGATTCTATCTATATGACTTTGGATGATTCCAAAGTTTGTGTGAGGTACACAGTATTGCACATTGCTAGGCAGTTGTGAAAAAATCAGTCACATCAATTTTTTTCCTCCATGTTTCTTCAAAAAGGTACAATGGACCAGGAAAACTCCACATAAAAAGATAAAATGTATTTTCCATGTTACATGAGATCCTGTCTCTTGGTAAAGCAAAACTTGTGACATTTATTGACAACATGATTACAGAAGCATAGTAAGATTACTAGTAAGTTGCTCTGGAAGTCCTTTGCATTTATCCTAGCTTCCTATGGACTGTGACATTTCCTCTTGATGACAATTTCCAGTGTGTAACGAAAAAGGTTCTGCTGCCCATGCTTCAGAAACTGGGCAGCTTTAAATGAAGTTTAACTGCAGTTAGACTGAAGTCAGCACTGGATGCCAGATGAGTCAGAGTACGCAGAGCTCAACTGCTAAATTTCAAAATGTTCCTTTTATCCCAATCAATGCACATTAATTTCAACAAAAAAACGGAATGTTTTGCCAGACAGCAATATTAAATTCTGCTCTGTTTTGTATACCCACTCATAATGAACTATGTAGCATTTATTTATTCATTATTGCTTTTGGCCTTTGTCTTCTGTATAGCTTTGTTCAGTCTTCAAAAGTCTACTAAAAGCTATGACTGGAGAGAACAGAACAAGCCTACTTCTCTCACTGGGATTGCCCCAGTTTAGACTGCAGTGTATAGAGAAGATCCCTGGTATCCAAGCTCTGGAGCGAGACCGGAAAACAACACCAGCTTTAACTTGAAGTGGACAGTTCATTTATGCAATATCTGGCTTCAGATAATGAAAGGCACCTGCAAAAAAAAACAAAAGAAGCTTTTTAAGTCATGCTGTGACAACCTCACAGCATGGGGCCATGCCAACTACAGGTTGACATTGTCATATTTAATATTGATATATCAAAGGAAAGGGACTAATATTTTTATTCCTGGGACAAGTTTGACAAAACTCTACGTATCTGGGATTATATACTGTAATGATTCTTGAGCTGGCCTCATTAAGAACATGTGTTTCTAATAATGGAATGCCAGTGGTTATTTCGATTTGGACAACCCTTATGTTTTACCTAATGGCAATCAGGTTTCATGTCTCAACAATTAATAACATCAAGATGTTGTTGACATCACTTAAGAAAATAATTATGCAGCAGAAATCTTGCTCAAACAATCAGCTATCTCACCACTGAACTCCACTTGATTTTGGAGAGAAGTAGCAGTCAGCCATTAGTATCTATTCCTGTAATTTTCTCTGTCACAGACAAAAAAGTACATACAATTGATAAATGATTATTGTTTCGCAGTACTCACTTTGTCCATATTGCCCATACTGGTAGCCTGTGACAGGGTCCATGCTGTAGCCGGTGGTGCTGTAGGTTGGAGGGCAGTAGGACTGCGATGTAGGCAGGCTGTCTAAACTCTTCATGTGATCTAGCCGCTGACTGCAGCTGGCTGAGACAGTGGTGGTGGGCTCCAGACCTCCAGTCAAAGGGGACAGGGCATAATCAGTTTGGGGCTGGTGAGGCACACCACCATGGTTAGTCAAGAGTCCCATTACCTAAAATAAAAGGTAGAATAATTGAGTAAAAACACATGGAAAACTGTTTTGTTGTTGGAGCTGTAGGAGTCTGCAAGTCTTTCATTGATTTCCTAAAACAGGTAGACTTAGCTAAAGCATAGATTGTATGCTAACTAATATAAAGAGCAGAAAAAGCTGTATTATCCTCTAAATAAAAACTGATGACTAGGAACCCACAAGAAGCAATACTGAGGGCAAAGAAGGAAAAGTAATGTCAAAAACTATTGTGATCTTTGTCTGTCTGATCTTGTGCCTCAACCAGGATTTCTGCAGATGGTTATTCCTTGAGAACTCGATCAGAATGGAATAAGAAACAGATAGCGACTCTTCACCAGTGCAGTTCTGCACAGTCTAGCAACGCGGAAAAGTTATGAAAAAGTTTACATGCATATTTTTTTTATATAAAATCGGCAGCTTCTAAAATGAAATTAATTTGGAGCGAATCACAGCAATACCATTGACAGAAGTAACAAAGAATCCCAGCACCAAGAACATATGAACATAAATGTGTGGGAAGAGGCAGAGAAGCCCTAACTCCTGTCACTGGATACACTGCGTGCTGGTCTGAAGATCTGAAATGCAAAAACGTGCTGCTCATTATACCAGTTCTCAACTTAATCCTGACTTAGAGGAGACAACAGAAATGGTCTGGCTGTCCCGACTGACCTCAAGTCAACTGTGCTGTGACTCCTTTAATAAGCTGCCCATACACAGCTATAAAATCAACAAGTGAATTGAGATTAAATGGAAAGAGCTAACGGGAAAATATGTGCGTGTCTCTACAAAGGCTCAGCCCTCTAAGTTGTCATTTTCAGTAGAAAAGCACAAAAGATTTCAAAAGCACCATGAACAGGAGTCAAGGAAGCTGCAGTGCTAAGTTTTTGACTTACAAATATCCACTCACATTATAGGCTGGTGCGTATTTGCATCCCCAGCACATCTCTACAGCACATTTTGCAACTAAGTTCTGTTGAGAGAATTGCTTGCTTCTGCTGGACGAAGTTGCACTTCAAAGCTTGAGAACAATTTGCATGTTAAGATGGAGGGGCAATGTACAGCTTCTGCCAAAACAGCATAACCTGATAATTTTAAGTTGGTCTTCCTCCAAAAAAGGATTACAAATATCTGACACATGCTTTTTGATAATCATTTTGCTTCACTGTACTTATCCTAACCTACCAAAACTTATTAAATTTGCAGTCTGTTTTGTGAAGAATAAAGCCATGCTCATATAAATATGTCTGGTACTGAAAGTTTTGGTGTCCCTTCTCAAATTGTATTTATTTTCCATTGCAATGGAAGAGGGATTTTTGTTGCAGGGAGCTCATAGTCCCAGCTCAGCAAACTCTGAATTGTTTGTTTTTAATCAATAAATGAAACAAGCCCCAGGGATCACAATTAGAGAGTAGGAAGGAAGACAAATCCAGATCTTACATGTCTAATAAGGAAAAAAAGAGGCATAAGCAGAGGATTTCAAAAAGTAACACCCAGGTGCCTGCATCACACATATCAATCATGTCTTGAGATGCACTCAGCAAATCTCATTGCAAAATCCTAGCACTGCAGTTAAAAACACAAAGAACTTGGATTCAGGTATGGAAAGTTATATATATTTTTTATATTATATGTGTATATATTTATACTTAATTCAAATCACTTTTTCAAGGCACAAAAACCTGCTAAAAGAATTTGAGATTAATGAGACACAATTTAAAAATCCTTAGAATTACCAGAGATTAAGAAATCATCATACTAGAATGGCAACCTGAGTGGTATTTTGTCACAAAAAAAAACCACTAAAAGCTGAGATTACTTGACTCCCAACCTTTCCTCTTCAAACTGAATTCTGAAAAGTAATACAAATTTTACAAGATTATTTTAGTAAGTTCTGCTATTTTAGGAAATACACACATTTTTCTTGCAGTGTTGGAAAGTGATATGATCATGAAAATGTAGCATGTTTAACAAACTGACATTGCATCAGCAGCATATAATGTTAGATACATTATACTTTCAATGAACATAGGTTACATTAATATTCATCCTTTAAAATTAAGGTTGTGAACTTAATAAGAAATTCCACCAAAAAACCCCCACATATCTTAACATAAACATTTATGTTAAAAATTACTGCTGTGAAAAATATTTACTTTGGCACAAGCATCATGGTTTTGACTACAGTTTTAAATATCCATGGTTTATCAGAAGTCTGAAATAAGTGCACAGCCCTTTCCATTCCTGTATAGCACCTATGTAGTCCCAGTATTTACGGCATTTTACCATGTTCTGTTCCAAGTTCAAAAGCAGGGAGAACAGCCTCAGCTTATGTTGCCCTCACAGCCCCGCTGGAGTCCCGATGCCACTCCTCTGCACATGAGCTTTCATATCACATACACCATCCCTACCAGGAGTTTTATGATGGATTGCTAAGTTGGGCAAATAGATATTTTGCCAACTGCACACTTTAAGTAACTTAAGTCTTTTCTGTTTAATATTTTCAACAGAACAGAGCCCAGGCCATTTTTTTTTTTTAATTAAATCAGAAAATAGTACGAGCCATTAAACGTCTTTTATAAGATGCTCCTAATAGACAGTCTGCAGAAGAACTGGCACAGCACCCTATCTTTGAGGTGGGGAAAACTGGGATAACCATCTTTGTAGAAATGTCTTCTTCAGAAGCATTAGGAATCATGCTGTAGTTGATTAGTATCTAAATAATTAGATTTTTGGTTATGTCTGTTTTGAAAGCTATAAGGGAAGTAGCCTTAGGGCAAAAGTCTTTCATATGGTATGTGCCATGACCTTATCACCCATACAAGGAGTTACAGGAAGGGCATGGCTGACTTTCACCTAATCAATTAGATAGCCATCAATGGGTCACGTCTGCGAGATGCTCAGCACCTTCAGCTTAGTAGCATAAACAGACACATGAAGATCTGTGTTTTGCAACTCAGGTCTTCTGCTAGTATTAAACAGTATAATAATAAATAGGTAAACAGATCTGATTTTTTTTTTCACTAACCATTGCAAAACATTTATTCAGTCCACATGCCATTAAAATTACCGGAAAATGTGCACTTGCCTCTGAATTAATTGGGGAAAATTGAAGTAGTAATTGTCACCCTCACCAATCTGGATCCCAAAGAAATTAAAAGAAGAAAAATCAAGGGCAGATCTAACATCGAGAACCAAATGCTGCTGTAACTGTTCCATTTATTTTAGAAAATAACTCCTATGAATGCAAAAATTTAGGCTAGTTTACATTCCATGTTTTGTTTTCCTTAAAAACAAAAAATGTTGATCTGTAACCTTTGAGTTTATACAATAAAAGACAGCATATATAATTAATAAAGTTATTTGTATATTCTGTTAGAAGAAAATGAAGGTGTATTTAGGAATATCAAAAAGAACACTATGAACTGTAACAAGTCAACTCTACAGAAGAGTTTTCATGGAGCACATCCCAAACATCCAAAACATTCATTGGAACAAGTCTCTAGCTGTTGGAGTTGACACAGCATCACTGGGTAAAGTTATGATCCAGGAGGAAGAGAAATCGAGTAATGAAAGCTTAAACACCACATACACAACATCTGGTCCACTATCAGCTGTTAGAAAATACTTCTATCATTAACAAAATAAAGTCCATTAAAGTTAGAAAAAGCTCATTCCATTTAAATGAAGCATTATGCCCATTAATGTGGTCGGTATTTTAGGATGTAGGACCTACCATAAGCACAATAAAATTCTCATATGTTTTAATTCATTTACGCATGCCTGCATTTAATATGCTTTGTGACCATGTCTGCAATTAATATGATTTATGAGAAAAGAACATGTGCAGTATTTTTTGGGTACAGTGATACATTTTTTCCCCCTCCTGTGAATGAAAGATTTAATGAAACAGCTCAAGGAAAATTGTTGTCAGTTAACGTATTAAGTTGAACTGACAGAATCACGAGTAAACTTTAGTGGAGTTAATGATATCCTCTTATCTGACCCTGACACATTTGCAGCATGTAATTTACAGAAGCTCTGTCCAGGGAATCTTGACAAATGCTCCTAACGATGTCAGGGCAATGTTCCATTCTAATGTAAAACAGATGTGGGTCAGATACCCTCATTCATCACAAACACTGCAAATTTCAAACTCCTTCTGAGATGAATGGCATTACCTGCTGTTAACTCTTTTCACTGCAGAAAAATCTCTCACAAACAAAATACTGCACTGTAAAGCATGTAGAAATGTTTGCCCTACTGTACTATAATGGCAGATTTTAGTAGACTGTATAAAATTAACTAGCTACATGGATCTATACATATAGGATCACAGAACTATATTTCAGATTCATTTCTTAAACATGAATATTTCTGCTGGATATATGAAGAAACCTAAGAGTAAGAATTCCGTGCCAACTGGCAAGCACTTGGAACCAAATACTTGGTTAATAAAAATAGGAGCAAATACACCAACTTTGAAGATCCGATGATCTGACCTTCTGTGTGCTTGAATCAAACGAGGCCTCATACTGATTTCACACCACTAGACATCAGTGGTAGCTACACTGAAATCAGAGAAGGTGCAGTGGTGTACCATTTAGGACAACTGAGAGGATAACTTGATCCTACAAGAATTATATTTTTAACTACAGGAGATTACTGATGTCCACAACATTACCACAGTTTGTCTCTAAACGAATGCCTTTTTTCAGGCACTAGATCATGGACTCACAGGACTAGGTAACTCTATCAAAATAATTAAGAGAAATTCTCTAGATCCTGTTGCATAGAGAAGCTTCAAAAATGTTAAGACTGAAAAGGCAAAATAGAAGGCCCAAAGATGAATATATGTTCAATTTTCTATTACATATTATTTATATATATTTTATGTAGTTAAGTATAAATACTTAATATCTCAAAATTGTTAGGCAGTCTTAGGGATTGTAGGTACTGGCTTGTGAGTTTAGATTGTTAAATAT